CATCCCTAAATTCTGGAAGGATTTAAGGGCCCCAAGATGTTCACGCTTAGGGACATGCATGAGAAATGAGGCAGGACAGGCCACACCTCCTGTCTCTCTGCTCTCACTGGGCTGGGGCTGTGGGAATCACCTGTGCAGGTCACCCCATGGTGGGCMCTCCACTCCAAGGGCAAGTGGTGGGATGTGCGTGGGTCAACTGTGCAGAGAGCTCATTGCACTCCGTCACCTGCTTAGCTTCCCCACAAAGAGTTCTCTGCACCCAGGGGAGCAGTGACAGTCTGTAGAGTCCAGTCACAAACATCTAGGGAGTCCCTGGATCTCTCAAGTTTCTCCTTCCCTCCTCCCTTCTTTTTCTTCTATTTTTTTTCCTAGTCTCTCCAAAAATTATTTGGGCATCACAAAGCTGAGTGGACTGGGTTCTCAACCTGTCACTGTAAACGGCTTCCTCTAAACACCCAGGGACTTTGGTTCAAGCTAGTTGAGGCTTTCTGGAGGCTGAATGGGGCTGGAGAAGATGTGAYGAGCAGCCGTGTGCAGGCGTCAACGGCAGTAGCTCTGATTTASCCTGCGACAAGCATTATGTTGTACACTGATCTGTCAGACCTCGGAGGACATTTACCTCTGGCACGAGTCCTCGGTCAGCCACATAGCAACAGGTGGATGACCTTTGGAAATCCGTACAGCTCTGTCTATCATCAGAAAGGGCTGTTACAGACATGGCTGAGGGGACAAGGTTGACAGTGAGTATATCTATCACGGGCCAAACACTAGGCATCACAGATACAATGGCAAACCAAAATAAGCCTGTGCCTTCTCTCACTGCACCTTATATTATAGTGTGTGCATGGGGGGTGGGGAGTGGGGATGGAAAGTGTCAATCAAATAATCACACAAATGCACATACGCTTGCCATGTGGCACGTTGTGAAGGACAAGTTCATGGTGTGTCTTTGATAGGGCCCAGATCCYCTCCACCTTTGCTGGGATTCTGGCTCCTCTATGCACTCTCTGAYGATCCTCAACAGGTTACTGACCTTCTCTGAGCCTGTTTCCCGGGTGCGACATGAGAAGCATTGTCCTAAACACTGTGCAGGGTGGTGTAGTCTTAAGCAGTATGTGAGGTCATTGAGGAAAACTTCCTGGGGGAAGCTGGGCTCCGCAGGGTGCGTGGGAATGGGGCAGGAAGGGAGAGTGTGCCAGGAGGAAGATGGCAGTGAGAGCACTCGTGGGAGGAAAGCTTTGGAGGAACAGAAGAAATTCACAAAAGCCCGTGAGGCTGGAGTYCCGAGGCATGGCTGGTGGATGATGTGGGCTGAGGCCGCGGTGGTGCAGGGCATATTTTACAGGTCATGGAATTGAGGCTTGCAGAACTGGATCTTGATGTTAGAGCAGCGGGAAGCCATAAAGCAGCCCGAGATGTGGACAGGTCTGGGTTTGGAGAAGCAGTGAGGTAAGGGTGAAGGGATGGAGGGAGGGGAGAAGGGTGGGTGGGGATCTGGTGTTGCATGAGTGGCCCGGGTGAGAGATCCTAGTGGTGCAGCCAGTTGGTGGGGATGGTGCTGAGGACAGAAGTAAATGACCTCAAAAAATCTGTGAGCAGCAAAAATTGGAAAATTTCTCTGAGATTCAAAGAACCATCTTTCAGTAAAACTGCTATCAAAGTCTAGATTTTGGTGAGGGTAGATTTGTGATATAGGGCTTATAAAATGGCCACATAAGAAAATTTCATACCAGTAAGACAAAGATTGAATTTTTAAAATTTTGAGATGATAAATGCAATGAAGACGMAAAAATGTCTTGAGAATTTAAAAACTTTTATTTTTGTTTTCAAAGTATTCAAAGATATGCAGATGAAATCTGATAACACTTGTGGATTTATAGTTCCAAAAATAATTTCATAGTACTGAGAAAGCATAGACCCATTTTAGCAATATGGACATATCCATTCAAATACAAAGACATAACACTTCCAAAATGTTCTAAAAATATAACCTCAAAAAGGAAATATTTACCAAGTATACACAAAAATACAGTATGCTTTTAGGAAAAGCAGTAGTAAAAACATGCTCAAATAAACCATATGTAAACAGCTTTAAAAGTCTTATATGTAAGGCATGAACCTCTATGCACTTTGMATTTATGAAATAGTATTTTTCCAAAGAAGTTCAGTTCACATAACAGATGCTCCATAATCTTTAAGGAATGCATACCTTCCTATTGCCCCATTAGGTAAATGGGAAGATCAAGGCAGAGAAATCATTTTATTAAAGACACAATGAGTATTTTGAAGCTGTAACTGAACTTCAGTACATCACCCTGCACCACAGATCCTAAATTAAGCACCACATATTACCACTAGAAAGAATCACACACACACACACACACACACCCACCCCAGGATGTACCTCTGTGGTCACACTACAAACTCTTGACTCATCAATTCTATGGTCCACTGCCATAGAGTAACATTAATGAAATAAAACATTTCAGGGTTCTTTCAGTAAATGATGACATATTAAATCATTAAGATTATTCTTGTATAAGAAGTTCTGACTTAAACTTCCTCTTAAAACAGAAATATTCTCTAATTTTCCAATATTTCCACTGAATGCAGGAAAGCACAGTTTTGTGAGGACCTGGTTGCTTTAACCAACATTCAGCTTTGCTRACATTATTAAGCAGGTATTCATGAAACGGAAAGACAGCAAGTGGAGCCCCAGACACCTTAYACCTTTCACTGAGAAATATGAGCTTACTCTGGAGAATTGGCAGTGGGTCTGGCAGGGCAGGTGCAGAAACACCTGGTAACCTCACCTGACTGACTKGCAAGTGCTCAGCACCCTTCATGCCATGGAGGATAACAGGCTTGTGGGGACCCTGGAAAAGTGTAAGCAGGGGTGAACCCTGGAGAGCCTGGTATCCCAGCACTCAACTCACTTCCTTGRGTGGGACTTAGTCTTAGAAAGTGGCCTCATCTAAACAGACGGTACAGCTTCTAGAACAACTGGCAGAGGGAGAGGAGAGACACCAGGGCCTAAACATTCTTCATGAACTGCTGCTGCTCTGCTGTTGGCTTTCCAGGGATGCAGAAGCCCAAGCACCATTCTTGCAGAAAGCTAAAAATTGCTCTTCTTGATCCTGGTAGGAAAAAAAAACATGGAAAATAAATGATACCCCAAATATAAATAATGAATTACAAAGAGATAAATCACTAGCAAAAATAAATACTAGAACTCAAACTGTCAAGGACTCTGGCCCAAGGTATGGCTTGCCACCATGAMTGTGCTGTCCTTGCTGTAGACGGGGAGTCTTGTGATCAAGCTGGAATTCCTCCAGTGCCCTACTTTGTTTAACTCTGTTGGTTTGGGTGCTCAGAGTTTGATGAATTACCTAGTAGTACCAGACCTTGGGGAGGAATAATAGAATATTCATTTGGACCTGATTCAGAAACTTTGTTTGTAATTACACGTCTCTCTAAGTGATCTCCCTACCAGCAGATGCCCTTCACTTGCAGCTGGAAATGACCACTGGTTCTAGACAAAGGCCAGGGATGCTGCTAAAAAGTCAGGTGATGGAGTGGGTTTGGGTGCTGGTGGGTGATTCCATCAGGCTTCCTGCTGCAGGAGCCGTGATTCCACATCAGACGATGCTAAGGTCTCCAGGCTGACTTGTGGTCACTATGAGAGTTCTGAATTCATTTTACTGTATTAAGAGAAAGCTCCTAACTTGAGTTTGAGGYTTACAAACTCATCAATTCATTAAGGAAGTGACTGCTCTCAGGACAAGGCTAAAGTGACAAAATCCAAGTTAATTGAAAGAAGATAATCCAGTAAACAGACCTGGCAAAAGTTGTAAAGAGGACAGGAGAGAACTCCTCCACTGTCAGAAGTGGTACCGAATGGCACGTGGCAGTGTAAAAGTGTTGCATTGCACTTAACACAGGCTAGAAGTACCTACATTGACACTACGTGCCTCTACATAGCATAAGCTAAGACCTGAGGGCCAAAGGCAGCTTTCCTGTTTTCATAAAGTTTTATTGGAACACTGCCTTTGTAGGCAGAATAATGGCCATCTAAATGCATCAGAACTCCCATCTCTAGATGGGTGATCGTTACCTTACATGGCAAAAGGGACTTTGCAGAGGTGATTAAGGATCCTAAGATGGGGAGACCATCTTGGATAATTGCTTGTCTGAGAGCTGGGTCATAGGAACATGAGAGGGACTCAGCTGCTGGCTTTGAGATGGCCGGAGGAACACGATCAGGCTCTAAAAGTTGGACATGGCCTTCAGCCAAAGTGGCAATCAAGTGGGGACCTCAGTCCTGTAGCCATAAGGAACCAACTTCTGCCAACAACCCACGTAARCAGGGAATGAATTCTCCCCTGGAACTTCCAGAAAGGAATAGGGCCTTGTGGACACTTTGATTTTAGCCTAGTCAGAGCCGCATTTGACTTCYGACCCACAGAACTGTAACATGATAAATTTGTGTTCTTTAACCCACTAAATTTCAGTAATTTGTTAGGGCAGCAATAGGAAGGGAATAAAATAGCCATTCATTATGGTCCTCTGTGGCTGCCTGCATTTTTCAAGACAGCCTTAAGTAGATGTGGCAGAGACTCCATAGCCCACAGATCCTAAAATATTTGCCAATTGGCCTTTGTTAGAGAAACAGCTGGTCAACCTCTGCTATTCATACATAGAAACTRTTAAGAGCAGCTAGCATTCACTGAGCACTTATTTGACACCCAGGTCTGTCTGGGCTAAGATTTTTGTATTCATATCAATTTTCTGCCAGAGATACTATTCTGGTCCCTACTCTCAAATTTAAAAAAAGGGGGGTGGGGTGGGGAAGGAAACAGAGGGAGAGGGCTTAAGTAGCTGCTCCAAATTGCCCTGTGAGTCAGTGGTGGGCAGAACTCAAACCCAAGCCAGGCTGACTTCAGGGCTCAGCTTGGTCATTTGCAGCACCTTGCAGAGAGCATGGATGCCCAGATGCTCACCTGAGTTCTTACCGCTGGCGGAATGCAATGGGGAGCTGCCGGCTGGGCACCAGGATACCCAGGTGCAGCATCTCAACAGGCTCCGTGTCTGTGGCCACGATGTCATATTTGCGGACGATCTAGAACATATGTGTACAAAAAAGCAGAATTACCCTTCCCTTCTCCTGCCTGTGGAGTCACGTGGCTGCAGAGATCCAGCAAGAAACTTACCCAGCAGAGAGCTAAGTGGAGCTGGAGCTCAGCCAAACGGCGGCCAATGCACATCCTTTTCCCAAGGCCAAATGGAAGATGCGCAAAAGGATTAATCTTTTTCTTCTCCTGAAGCCAACGTTCAGGTCTAAACTGACTTGAATCCTCAAAATTGTCTTCATTGGACCCCAGCACCTGGGTATTCAGCATCAGCACTGTCTAAAAACATGGGGGGGGGGGCAGCATTTTAAATAACTAGAAAAGAATGTTTTAATGGAAAAACTTAAAAAAGTGATCATCTTTACCATGTAAAATAGCCCATAAGAAAAAGGATTGCCAAAGAACGATTCATGCTTAAAATGTGCCAAGTAATGAATAGGCACAGAAATTCAGCATTTTTACTTCCTATTCTTGGAACAACCCCATATGGCAGATTTTATTTTCTCCCCATTTTACAGATGAGGAAGTTGAGGGTCACAGATGTTATGTGACTCACTCAAGAACACACAGATAAAAGTGGAATTAGATTCAGGTCTCTATTTCCATAGGCATGCTCCCTAATTCTGTGCTACATAAATGTGAATTATAATGCTTCCTGCTATGGATTTCCCAAACAAATGCTGTCTTGGCAAAAAGTTTCAGAGAGATCTGTTGAATGTTTGGAAAGCATATCTTTCAAAGTTTTGTAAGGTACAGAATACACAAGTTCTACTTACTCCTTTGGGTAAAACATATTCACCCAGGACTGTTGCCTTGTCAAGAGTCCGAGTTGTAAATGGTACACTTGGGGTAAGCCTGAAAACAGAAAATCARTTGTAAAGGTGGCACTGACCAAATTCTGTTCAAAATGTCAGTGGGAATGGAGATCAGATTAAGTACATGCTCAAAACTGGGGTAGCCCTTCATAAAGTCCTGTCTTCCCAATATTCATCTCCCCTGTTGCTTTTTCTTGTCATATTGTATTGTCACAATCCCTAGTGCCAGGCTAACTAGTAACTGCTAACAGTGGTTTTCCTGTCTCATCCCAGACTCCACTGTGTAGGTGTTTTGTGTTTCACCCTGAAGTCTGATGTTTGTTCTATATTTCTCCCATCTACCATTCTTTTCATAATATTTCCTTCTACTTTGAAGATGTTGTGAGTTTTGTTTTCCAGAAAGTAGGTAAAAAGAATTTTCAAAGAACATTTTACACGAGGGGCTCAGAAATGAAGGTGGCTGTGTCTTGTTAGTTAATAACATGGTCTCCTGCCAAGGAGTCGCCTCGGGATCTGCATCATGCACTGGTCTTCCTCAGTGTTCAGAGCATCTATTGGTGGGGTCATTCCTTTAAAGGGGAGGACTGACATTCAGAATTTAATGGCATTTCCCTAATGACTTAGGGAATATRTGACAGAAAAGAAATGTGGTCCCAAGACTCTTCTTCCAAGTTTGAGAAATGTTTATAATCATTAAGGGTAGCTATCTATGAGAGGGCTACCTTTGTTAAGTATTTAAGAGAACAGTATTCCAACATATTTATATTGGCTTATTCATACCTCATAGATTCTTTCAGACAGGCCTTTAAATACGGCATATTCTGCAGATCTCTGGCCCGTGGCGTTTGATTCTTAGGCAATACACTTTGAATTTCTTTAAGAAGTTTTTGTTGCACTTGGGGATTACGGGATAAGTTATAGAGAATCCACATCAAGCTGTTTGCTGTCTGAAACCCAAAAAGACACAAAACTKAATTTATATAAATAAACTGCCTTAAACTACTATGAGCTAAACAAAGGTGATGCCTACTGCCTTGCTCTGCAAATATGTTAGTGATTTTTTTTCACATGTTCTTATTTGCTGTGCCTTAAACAAACCCAATATTTGGAAAGTCAGATTTATTTTGTGAAACGTATCAATTCAGGATAGCTTATTTGCTGAGGGAATCAAATAGAATCCTTTAAWTAACCAGCTGCATCAGGACATTTAGAATATAGTTGGATCCAATAATTGCTTAAACACAGATAAATGTATACAAACTGGTGGAATGAGAATCAGTTGGTAGATTATATCGGTGCTGACTGTGCTGACGTGTAGGTTGTAATGATGTTTTACATCATTAACATCCTAACGGCAGGATGTTACCCCTGGGGGACACTGGATGAAGGATACAAGGAATGAATCTCTATTCTTTTTCTTAGAATCAAATGTGAATCTATGATGATCTTAAAATAAAAAAAGTTTAACTAAAATTGCTTAAGGTAAAAAATAAATTGATGTAAAAATTGAGTAAAGAGAGCAGGTCAGAGATCCTTGAAGTGCTACTCCTAAGAGGCTTAAATTTCTATTTTTTTTTTTTCAGTGCAAATGCACAAGAAGTGAGTATTTCTGAAACTTTAAAATTCTTTGGGCCACACCCTGAGAAATTACCATGGAAATGAAAAGGCATTCTCAAAGTTTCAGCCACATGCAAAGAGCCCTCATAGGGGGATGCCAACAGCAAAGAGGAAATGCTAGCGCTGAGCTGAGGGTACAGGAGGACCTGGTCCCCTTGGCCCATTCTAGGACCTCCTTGGGCACATTGGTGCAACCAGCCATTACAGCTTTTAGCTACATAATAGCCGCCACCAGTGGGCACACATGTTTGTTTTTTAGGCCTTAGCTAATTTAAGCTAAATAGTCCCCTAAAAATGGTCACAGTGTCCTTCCCTCCCCAGACTCGAAGACGCTGTCRCCAAGTGCCATCTGCCACTCACTTAGATGAGCAAAGTGCAAGGCAACTCAGAGCCTGTGGCTATTTATTATTTTTGGAAGAAGATGCCTCCAAAGTAGGCTTCTGCATGTCAAAGGACCGGTGGCCTCAGCTGCAAATAAACCCGTGGTGGCATTATTATAAGAGTCCAATTTACAAAACAGGAAGAGGGTGTAGCCACCAAATTAGAGGCACTCAAAGTTTTCTGATTCTCCAAATGTGACTTTCAGAACAGCTGAGACTAAAAAAGAAATGGAGATCGTGTATAACCATATCAGTCGGTTCTTCACCACAAGTACCAAATGGAGCTCCCCCGAGCCGCGTGACACCAACTGAGCTTGTTAAAAAAGACGCAGAGAGGAAGTGGGCTGGGAAACCTCAAGGGCACAGGCTATCCCGGCTTGACCTCGGGAGGAGGCCCATCTCCTTAACTGKCCTGCTTCTACTCTCCCTGCACTAAGTTCCTTCTCCACCCACCAGCCAGAGTCCGCTTGTCAAAACAAAAATTGGACAGGTGACTCCTTTGCCTAAAATGTTCCAAGAGCTTCTCCTCGTGGGGCCTAATGAAACACAAAGGCCTTACCAAGGCTCATGAGGCCTTGCAACCTCCAGTTTCAACTCCTATCACATTTGCTCGTTCTCTAGCTTCAACCCTCTTTCCTCCACAGGGCCTTTGCATGTGCTATCCTTCCCTCCCTGAAGTGCTCTTTCACCAGGTTTCCGAACAGCTGGATCCTTCTCTTCATTCCAGAATCAACTCTGGTATTATTTCCTCAGAGAGGGACCCCTAGCCCCACTTCCATCTCTCAATATCCTTCTGATGACTTCCTCTGTGGCACATGACACTAATTGAAATGATCGTATCTGTTTGATTGCATGTCTGCTGTCTGTCTTCCCACCAGCATATGTGTTCCCTGAGGCCGAGGACTTCGCCTCTGGTTCATGATGGTGTCTCAAGGACCCGCAGTGGTCCCTGGCACACAGAAGACACTCTATAATACCTGGTTTCTTTCATTTATTCCTTAAGCATTTACTGGCCACCTAGTACACACCAGCCTCTGTTTTGTACAGGAATGCACTCAGTCACTGCCCTTACAGAGCTTAACAGTTGAAAAAAATAAAAAAGGAATGGAAATTTTAATTCTATCACTCTAAGAAAACTTTTAGGGTTTGTGATTCAATAGGAAAATGAGATACAATGAATTTTTGCCTTTGTCAGCCACTCGGGCAGAGGAAAAATGAGAAGGATGTGATCTCTGGTTGGAGAAAACCCTCCTCTTTCTGTGCACAAGAAACACTAGGAATAAAGAAAAAGGGGAAACCAGCAAGCTGGCTTGCCTTCTGAGACACTTTAAGGTGTGTGCACTGTTGGATTTATGAGGAATATCAATATGCATCACTCTCATGACTCAAAGACAACCAAACACACCTATGTGCATTTGCCAGTATTTGCATTTGGAACTGGACTATATGGAGTATCTACTATGAGTATAAGCCATGCTGGATTGAAATAAATCTGCTTATTTCAATTAGAATCACGCTGTCTCAAACTAACTATGTCCAAACTTCCAAGCAGGAAAAGCATTATTGACCTAGAGCATGGCATTTTAATATTTTTACAATACATATCACCTGCCATGGGCAAGCACTTTGGAGTAACATATGCAATGACCTAAAATAATCCAACTTTAAAAATCTAACTTTTCTTGCCAGGACATGAAACTTTACTGCTTCCAAATCCCTGTAGTAGTTTGCGTGTTTGTCATGGCCATGACCAGATCCTATTCTGATTTCTGTCACTGGAGCAATGATGTCTCCGCCATATGCTTGCAGCTATACCTTTCGTCTCCCTGCACCATCAAGTGCAAGACTTTGGAGCTTCGCTAAGCTGATGCTCAGTTAATCTTGGTGGAAGGAGTGAGTTGAAAGACTACCTCAAATTCTTGAGGAAAACACCTGCACAGACTGTGCGTTTGGCAGACCAGACCCCAGCCCGCCTTACCGTTTCTACAGCAGCCAGCTGGAGCTCTGTGACGGCCGCGTAGAGTTCCTTCCTAGAGAGCTGACTGTGCTGGTAAATATCACAGAGGAAATCAGCACCAGGCTGCTGAGAGTATTTCTCCAACCGGCTGTTGACACAGGACTTGACTATTAGAGAAGAGAGAGGAAAAAAAAAAAAAGACAGTTTAATATTAGGATGAGGAAAGAACCCAAGGGAATCTCAGAACAAATCCTTGCAAAACCTGGAGAGTCTTTTCACGCTGAAAATTTGCTAAATAAGCTCRTACTGCCTTCCTGTTAGGCTGGCAAGAATATCTCAATGCCCACATGAGCAAAGTGGCTCAAGATGCCTCAGGCACCTTCTTCAAACTCAGACCCAATCAGGGGTGGGGGCCTGGAAGTCTGCATTTCTCACAGGCTCCTATGATGCAGATGCCGCTGTTCTGTGGCCACATTTTGAATAGCAAGAGCTCAGAACCCAGGAGAGATCAGCAGGTGAGGAAGTGGGAGTCGGGTTCCTATTCAGAATCAGAATTTTGGACCCAATATTACTAAACACACACACACACACACACACACACACACACACACACACACGGGCATACAGACCCCATACATGAAAATACAGTGCCTGTGCCTGTTGGTAACAATGGAAAACATAAAATACATTCTAGGTACCGGTCTCCCTCCCTTTGATCCAGTGTGCAAGCAGCCCCAGACTAACAGTGACGATGAGCAAAGTGACAGGAGTCACAAATGAGCAGAGGGCTTRAATCCTGAAGCCCTTCTGCCCAGCTCCAAACCCTGGTTTTGCCAGAACCTCACATGTAGTCTTGGGAAGTATCTCAGGCACATCAGTTGGGGCTCATAAAGGACCTATCACGAAGGTTAGTTATAAGGATGAAATGTGTGTGCCTGAACCTAGCACCAAATATTCCTTCCATTGTGTAGCAGAAATGGCAAAGCCCTACCCACTGAGGTACTGTGACATGCTAGGTCTTCATGTCCTCTGTGTCAGGCTCAGAATGGCTGCATGGAGGTAGGTTTTAGCAGTATTTGGCTCATTTAAGAGACCAGGCAACACAGGATGACACGGAGGCAGCACTTTGGCCAAGCTGCCATGCACAGGGCACCCAGGGGCCTCTGACTCCAAAGCTCTTTTTTTAGCCACTTTCAGTTCCCAAAGAAGACTGTAGAAAGCCACCTCTTGCCTTTCCCTGAGATTCATCTACACTTGTGTGTTTGCAAAGCTTAAAGGAATCAGGAGGGGTGACTCCACAGAGAGGTCAAGGTGGCTGACCCAGGAAGGCCATTCCAACCCTTCCCCAGCTGGGGCTTGGTGGGCCCAAGGTGAAGGGCAGTCCTCGTACCTGATTTGAAGATGGTGTCCCAGGCCAGCGTGTGGGCCTGCCAGACCTTGGTGTTGAGGCTCCTGTGCAGCTCGACCGGCGTGACCATCATCCTCCCAAAAGTGCTCATCATCTGTGAGAAACAGGAGCACCTCTTCATTCCAAATTCTCCTCCCCCTGGAGGTTGCTCCAAGCCACGCACCCTGTGCCACTCCGAAAGCAGGAATTCAAAGGTGCCCCGCTCTCTCACACCCATCCCAGGCACAATGCCCAMGCCCCACCTCCCGTGGAACATCAAAAGCAATCTTGGGGTGACTTTCCACTGTGTTGTTTAATAAAAGGTGCTAGGTCCTATGACCCAATTAAAAAAACCATATAAAACCGTAACTTTCATATTCACTTCAATTTCAAATAATTTCCTAAACTTGGCCATTCATTCCAAATCAAATTCTCCTGCATCCACACATACCTAAACCATTCAAAAATTTAAAATCTGAAAAATTTCAGGCACTTTAAATTTTTTTTTTTTCCTGAACCGAACGAACATTAATGGGAATACCAAAAATAGGTATAAGGTCAATTTTTATTTTGCTAAAATGACCTTGTGTAAACAAAGCAATAATGGGTTTAACACRCTTCTAAATGACATGTGCACCTATGCACATACTATATCAAAATACATTATCCACATCAAGGTAAATAAGCTAACTTGAAATAAAGCCTTGGTATATGCCACTGTTGGGAGACAGTGCATGCACATGAACCTTGAGGCCACTCTGTCCTGTGAGCTGTCCTCATGCAAGGGCTGCTTACTGTTTTGATGGCCTCGATGAAGTTCAGGGCGTCTTCCCCAGCGTTCTTCTGAAGGAGCCCAAATCTCTTCCCATATAACACGAGGCAGATACCTATTATTTAAAATAATCATGACGGTTACAGAAGCTCAGCCACACTGGCGTTTATGATTAGCTGGCTCTTAAAGACTTGATTCTGTGTCTCACAAAATTATGTTTTTGCTAAGAAGAAAAAGAAAAAAATCCAATGACTCAGAAGTCCAAGAACAGTAAGGGAAAGCAAATGGTCTGAGAGAAAGGGCGTAAGCACTCTCCTCCCTTTCTAGAAATCGTTTCCAGCACAACGAGCCACCCCCTTAGTCTGGGTCTCGAAGGTCACCTGAAGATGTAAGGCAAAGGTGGTGTCAGGTGCCAGCTCTGCTCTGCCTCCAGCTCAGCTGGGTTGCTGAGCTGTTTATTGGATTCTGCTGCCCCACATGGCCAAGGGAAGGCCATGGACCAGCTGAGCAGCYGGTACCTGCTAGTCCTGAGCCAGTGCTTTGTTGACTTTTCCCCATTTAGTTATTTTATTTAGGCACAGTMTTTTTAAAAATAAAATTCCCAACTCCATTTCAAAAGTTTTAGATACAGAAAAATTGAAAGATTAGTATAATCRATACCTATGTTCTCTGAGCTCGGAACAGAGAACATAGTGACTTTCTCCTGGGGCCAATGTATACATTAATTCTCTGTGTGTCTCCGTGTGCTGAAAGTTATTTTTGACCTTTTAGATACTTCAAAATTAAATAATTTAGCAGATATCTTCTAAGAATAAATACATTTTCCTATGTAACCACAAAGTCACTAATACCCTGAGAACATTACCCATTCCATAATATACCCATGTGCCCATTTTAAAATTTCCCTCATTGTCCTAAATATTGTCTTCTTAACTGTTTTCTTTTATGATCCAGGATCACTACTGTTGCTGCCTGATAGGTGRGTAATCCGCTCTCCATTTACAACCTGGGTCAAGCGGGTGAACGACTGGCCTCAAGTCCTCCACCTGAGAAGCAGGATCCGCAAGACTAGTCAGAGCAGAGCCACGGGTTTCCAACCACATCTTACTTTCCAAACTCCCCTGGTCGAGGAGAGCCTTTCATTTTGCCACCAGCCAACCAGCAGKAGGAGGAGGAGGAGGAGGAGGAGGAGGAGGATGCTCAGCCTTCAGCATAGGGCTGCACCGTGCAGCTGAGGGTCTCCTTCCTCCAGGCTTCTCAGGATCCAGGTGTGAATTTAATCCACCTCAGTCCAGTTTTCTTTAGCGGGCAACTAAATGCCTTGGAAAGTCCTCAATCTGGGTACTTCTAGGGGTCAGTTTGCCAAACATTCACGTCATGTCTCTCTGACAGTCTTTGCTTTTACTCCTCTTTCCCTTATGCTGTGGATGTCTTTCTTGCATAAAGCTTTCTAGGGTGCTGAGGCGACAGGTCTGGAACTTGAAAGGCGGTTGATCTGAAGACGGAGACAGGTCTACAAGAGCCTCCACTTGGGGGATCCCTGTGGAACCCTCCCTTCAGCGGCCAGAAGGATCCAGCAAATCTGACAAAGCCACCCCCTGGGAAAGCCACTCTGCTGTGGCTCCCGGCTGCTCTAGGCTCAGCTCCAACCTCCTGTCCTGTCCCGTCCCATCCCATCCCATCCCATCCCATCCCATCCCATCCCATCCCATCCCGTCTATAAGGCCTCCAGAGCGGCCACTGTCCTCCCCGGTCCCCTGTCCTCCTGCATTCCTCTCCACAGAACACACTACAGCTTCCAGGACGCCTTTCTGTCCCTTCCACACAGCACTCCTTAGGCTGGAACATGCCTCCTTCCCTCACTTTACACCTGGTCAATCCCAGCTCTCCATCAGGTCTCAGCTGGAGGAGTGTCACCTGCCCAAGGCTGGCCTAGGGAGCCCTCATGGCTTCTCCCACAGCCCCGACCTTCCTCAGCCCCCCTGCTGCAACCCCACGGCAGCGAGCTCATCAAGGTAGGGCTCCCCCCTGAATTCCCAGGCTGAAACTAAAGGAAAGAGCGCCTGTCCCCCTCTTTGGGGAAACCCTCCGCGGCTCCCCCTCTGAACCTGATAGAGGAGCAGATTCTCCCCAGGACCTACTGGCTCTGGTGACCCGGAGCCTCCTCTTCTTCCTGCCTTTTTGGTTTCCACAGCCTCCCCACCCTCCTCAACACAACTCATTCGCATCAGCATTCTGGAAGTTTCTCAGACACCCTGTGAGTGTGCATGCTTCTGCCTCAGGGCATTTGCACCTCCTGGCTCCACTGTGGGAACACTCACATGCAGATACCCCAGGGASTTGCCAGTTCCCTTCCTTCAGGATGGGGCTGTCTCCTTACCGGAGAGGACCCCTCCCACCTCTGATTGTCACCGGAGTGAGATTTTATTCCCCAAACCACCTACAAAACTAAGCGGGGGAGACTGCAGACGCTACTCACTTTCAAAGGACCATTTGTTGAGCTCTCGGTACAGGTCTTCCATGCAGCCTCTTCCATCACAGAGCTCATCTATCCTTCCCATAAAATCCGCCAGCACCTGGAGAGCAACCAGGAGAGACTAGCAGTGAAAGTCATGGAAGGAAACAGGGTTCAAGCTGAGGGTGCCGAAGGGTTTGCTCTATGCTGTGTTCTCTGCCCAGGTGTCTCTGTAAAGCCGCACTAATTACAGGATGGTCTTGGGACGCTGCCAGRCCACACCACCTTGTCCATGGTTATCTCCTGAGCCCTTCCTGAAGCCACCCCAAAGCTTCAGATTCCACTTTTGATCTAAAAGTAATTCTGACAATTAAAAAAAAAAAAAAAAAGCATTTCTCCTCATCAGAATGAGGCAGGGAATCGGCCTCATGTCCCTGGCAGGGACATCACCTTGAGGACGGTGAGGCCGTGACTGTGCTGAGGTCTGCACTCCACACTTCCATATCTGGGCAAGAAATGGTCTCTTTTTTTGGCTGGTTGTTTTTGTTGAGTATGTTGAACTTGGAACCAAATCTGCAAATTCTGGATGCAGTGCTCTCCAAATAGGCCAGTATCCTTGGACAGTCACCTAAGCTCTCTGCATGACAATTTCAAACACCAACATTTTTGGTGACGAATGCCTTATAGTTGGAGGCCTGTAAAGTACCAACCACTGCCCGGAGCGTGCTCTCAGCTCACCCACAGAGCAGCCTGGGAGGCGGGAGGCACTGCAGTTACGGAGGCTCTTTAGGGAAGCTAAGTCACTCGCCCACGGACACTTAGCTGATTGCTTGCCACGCTTGACCCTGGAAGAAGGCACATGTGACTCTAAAGCTTGCAAATGTAATCAATGGACATGTCTGATGTTCTCACATCGTGTATTAAAAAGCATTTTGAATTTTTTTTTTTACCACTAAAGAATCAAGAGATTTCACATAAATGTATGGATTCTCTACTACTTGTCAAAATAGTAATGATGAGGTTATTATTACAAGGTGACACTGGCTGTGTGTTCCCACGTGGCAGTAATTTGCTAGATCTGTGGCAGCCGTCCGTGCATGTGGGCATGCACTCTTCTGTTTGCTGAATTCTTTACGGGACCTGCCTTACTATTCTGTATTAATTATCCAGCTCCTGGACACTTCTAAGTTTGCAATCTCTCATCTATATGATTCTGTCTGGGTCCAAGTCCAGTTTAAAACAAACATACAAAGGTTATAGTAGTAACAAGAGATTACTTAAAATCCCCTTTGGCCTCCTGTTGGCTAAAGGATATTGTCCAAATACTTTAGCAGGGCATAAAACCATTGTTAAAGCCTCCTGCCTATCTAGTCACTCCAGGGAAAGCCTCCGTCCAGGTGCATTGAATGCTGTTCTCTAAACATAGGGTGTCTCTTCCCATCCCTGCATTTTCAGATTGTTCTCTCTGCTTGAATGCTTTTCTCCACCTTCTTTTTCTTGTAAACGCCTACTTATCCTGCAAAACTCAGCTCAAATGTCACTAACTAAGACCTTTACAAGCACTATCTCATTTAATTCTTCCCGTGAACATGTAGGGTAGGAACTGTTACCATCCATTATATAGATTGGGAAACTGAGTCTTAGGAAAAGTGACGTAGCCACATTCCATAGCCAGAGAGGGAAAGTCTGGAGCTTAGATCCAAGCCTGGTGAGTACCAAAGTCTGTGCTCCTGATGGTTCTCCATTACAGTATTATTTTTAAAGGGTTTGGGGGAGAAAGGAATGAGGATTGGGGAAAAGAAGGATGGAGAGTGAAGTAGAGAAAAAGAAAAAGCCCTGGAATTGTCCAGATTGCATGCTTTTCCCTCTACACTTTAAAGGTATGAACTGAAGCTCCATTTACATCCCTCTGTCCCCAAGAGACCCAGAAAGCCGGCCCCAGTCTGCAAACCTCATTGATTTTGTTGTCCAGCTTCATAATTTCCACTGGTTTCATTAGTTTCTTTTGAAAGGCACTCCGCACCCTCTGCCAGTCTTCTCCTTCCCTAGGAGAGGAGCAGGATTATATTTAGAGCCAACGAAAAGAAGGGAATTGTAGAAATAATTCCAGGTACAACTTCATGAACCATGAAAGCAAATGAACCTTGAGAATCATGCCAAGAAATAYGCACCAAATGTTAGCATTAGAATATTCGGGGCTGGTTTGACTATAGGATAAAACAGAAACCTTTCCTCCTAGCCCAAGACTGTATCAGGAAGGTGAAGCCCAGATGAGTTGGGCTCAGGGCTTTGGGTATGCCCTTCTGGACCTGGGGCTGGGAGCCGGAGGGCCTCAATTTCCACCAATAAGAGCCAACTGATGGATGTCCCTGAGCCAGCAACTTGGGTTTGTTTGAAAAAAAAAAATCCATTTTCAACTCATCAGCTTGTACATAATAACCATAGAAAAAAAAATCCCTCAAATTTAGAAGTTTACCATTGCCTCCAAAGGATAGCATCTAATCAGAGAGTCACTGGAGTTGTGAAAAGTCCATTAACCTTATGAACTTGCCCCAAGGCTGACTGCATAGCCTGGGAAGCCCCATGTCTTAACAAGGTTTCCAATGCCAACTGTATCTTGAAAAACACAGCTTCTAGGCATTACAATATGGGGTTAAAGAAAAGTGCTACTTGTTAAATGTCCACAGTTAAAAACCAGAGGAACTACATCATACTGTGGCTTTTATTTCTCTAGAATGTGACCTTGGCACCTGTCCTTATCCACCCTTGCAGAGACATAGCTCTTAACCCCAGATCCTTTCCAGAAAAGGACACTGTGGGAAAAAAAGGATAATTTCCAGCTTTTGAGTTTAGGGTGGGGGGGAGGACATCAGGGAATTTTAAAGGGTTCTTTTGTTTGTAAATTATTTGTCTGGCACACTGACTTCAGAGCCTTATTCTCTGGAATCATCGGAACACCAGAATTCGTGTGACATTGCATTTGAGGGAAGGCTGACCTGCAGGAGAGCAAGTACTCTCTGCTGCCTCTTTCCTGGACCCATTCTATTCAGCTGCGCAGGATTGCACTTCCTGCAAGTAGGGGCTTTGGTTTTGTCCGGCATGAGAAATACATCACTCCAGGGAACTCTTAACTCCCGCCCCTTCCCAACTTCCAGGCGCTTCAGACCAAACCACCTGTCTGCGTTCTGCGCACTGCACTTACAAGATCAGCAGTCCGTAGCCCTCCTTGCGGTAGTCGCGATAGGCCTTCCACGGCTTGATCTCCAGCCGCTGGGGATAGGCGCTCTCGGTGCGGTACAGCGCTTCCAAGAGGCACGGGGAGCCCAGATGCACTGAGTCGAAGGAACCCAGCTTCATCCGAAAAATTTTGCCATACTTCTTGTGGTACTCTACCTGCAGCGGGCAGAGCGAAACTTTGGAGTCAGCGCGCATCCTCCACAACCCCAGGAACGCTGATGACTCCTGCAGCTAAACCAGGGCACCGGGGCACCTGAGCGCACCGAGCGCACCACGCGCCCCTGGCCTTGCGCCTTACAGAGGGGTTGAAGCGATACTGGGAGAACAGGGCAGGGCAGGGAGCAAAAGGGAATCGGGACATGACAAAATATTTACCAGAGTGTCATGCTGTTTCTTCAGGCCCCCTTTCCAAAGAATCTCCAGCAGACTGCCCAGCAGTGGCCAGTTGGTGGGACCCGGCAGGGTGTCCGCGTTCTGCGTCTCACCACGTGGCATCAGCGGACAGAGGGGCACCTCTCGCTGTGGACGGGGCGCACACGCCCTAGATGTCATGCGTCTGGGGGGCTGCCCCAGGCTGCGCAGCCCCTGCTCGAAGGCGGCAAGGGAGCGGCTCATGCCAAGGAGGGAGCTCATGGCAACAGCGGAGACGCGGGGCATGGGAGGACGCAGCACTGGGGAGCGCAAGGCTAAGAGTTGTTAGCGGGATCTGGGGGCTTGACGATTCTGGGAAATTCAGGGCCAGCCGATGTGACAGAGGAGGGTAGAGGAGGATCTGGGAGCAGAAGGGACCTTGGAGAGAATGCAAATGCGGCAGCCTCGGGTTGCAGCTGCCAGAGTAGCGCTGGCGACAGGGGCTGAAGGAGCGCTGCTGGGGTTTGGTGGCTCTTGGAAGAGGAAAGGAGCCCCGTGGGTCCGCGGTTGGGTCTGCAAGTCTGACTTCTAGGGTCTGGAGCCACAGAAGGGTATGCCCAGAAGGGTGAAAAGGATGCTGTTGACTCTGTCGTTTCCTGCAGTGCCTCTCCATGCTCCAGTCCCTGGACCATGTATTTATGGAGACAGGCAGGCCCTGAGTGGCCAATGAGCACTCCGAGTAGGGCGGAGTGGGCCCGGGCTGGCCAGGCCCCAAGGGAAGTGGGACGCGGGACGCGGGGGGTGGTGGAAAGAGGATGGAGTCAGCGAGGTGAGCGAGTGCGCCAGGGTCGGGTGACCGATGCGCTGCTTCTGGGGCGGGAGAGCCGTGGACTCCACCCCGGAGATAACCCTGAGGCAGGCACGCGAGCCAAGTTCACCGGGTGCGCGCTGATGCGCCTCCCCGCCCGCCCTTTGCGGGCAGCAGCCTGCAGTGGCTGCAGCCTGGCGCTTGCACAATAGCCATCCTGGGTGGCGAGGTCTCTGAGTGCCGTCCGGGAAGGGTGACGGCTCCTGCCAAGGGCGCGCTGCCCGCTCACCTTCTGGAGAGACAGGCTTCCCCAGCCTGGACTGGGACTTCCTTCAGAGGAAAAAAAAAAAAATGACTTTCTGAGCCTCTACAGGTGGAGAGGATTCGAAATTCACTAAAATGCATAGAAAGAATGGATTTCACCTTCTGTTCTTGGGCAAGAAGACCAATTGAGTTTGTAGAATTTCCTTCCTGGCTGCTTTATTTTTGGTTGTTATAAGGATTAAACGAATTAATGCATGTAAGGTGCCTACAACCTAGTCTTGTCTATGAGCATCAATAAAAAATGCTGTGGTCATTACCTCCTCAGGTGGTTATGGAATGCGCTRTGAGGGCATAGCTTGCTTGCAATGGCTGCCACCTCCCCCACTTCCCTCAGCCCCCTCCCTCATGTGCATTGACCATTCTGTACAAAGCAGAGACACTCCCAGGTCAAACCAGGCCCCTCAACCATCCCCACCACCTCTACAAGGTCCATCCTAAGCCCAGCCATACGCATGCCCCCAAACACACCTGCACTAGCCCAGAGTACAACTCACCTTCGTAATTCAGAAAGGGAAGTTAGAAATTTTTGTTGATTGTGACTCATATGGTCGTGTTGCTGATCCAACATAAAGTTCCCAGCTCCCAGGGAGGAGGTGAAACTGTTTCCTCTCCCAGTTTCCAGTCACCTGAGAGCTTGTTTTGACCTAGGATTAACAAATCCTTCCTTGATAAGTCTCTTATAAACATTTAGTTTGTTTCTTGAAAACCYTTTGTTCCAACTTGAGTTGGAAAACAATCATTTTAGATTTGTCCTCAGAAGTCAATGACCTTATGTTAATAAAAATAAAAGCCATTGAATATAGAGTTTATGTATAATTATTATATATATTTATGCATGATAGACTAGATATTATATAGCACATACTAGAGATTTATATAGCTTATGTAATATATACTCTATGGAATATGATTATGATATAGACAACATTATATATGTGTGTCATATATTATATATTTTACAAAAGAAARCTTTGTTATATAGCACACACATACATACACACACATACACAAAGCTTTCTGGAATTAGTGATAAACCTAGGCACAGAGCTGGACATTTTTACATCCATTTTTGCATTTTTGACTTCATTCTGATGTCAACAAAGAACAAAAGCAGAAACACAACCCCATGATGCTTAGAGAGTTAAATAATTTGCTCAATGTCATAGACCTTAGTAGTGGCCCAGGTGGGGTTCACACCCAACATTTTCTAGTTCCAGACTAAGCCGGTAATATAAACAGCATATACATTTTGTCATGTTGTGTCATCTTTTCACAAACATATATCTCAGGATATTGAAAATAATGAGAATATTTCCAAGCAGGCATGGGATCAGARTGACTACCATGGCAGTGTCAGGGGGCAGTGTGACATGTGACATGAATATCTTATGTGTTGAGGGTGGTAAAAAAAATGCACCCCAGAGAAGGTCCATTTAGATCTCCGCTGTGTGTCCTACTTGTGACTGCCACATAGTGGATGCTCAGCGAATGATGACCTGTGACTTTAACTAGGGAGTATTCTTTCCTCTCTTGCTCTCAGCAGGTGTGCTCAAGAAGAAGGGGAARCATTAGAGATTTGCTAGGGTCTCCTAGCAGTTTAGTGCTATATTGTTTCCTGTATTCCAAACAGATGCTTAGAAGTGCAGGTAATTATTTCTAACATAACAGCCAATTGGAAAAGTCCTGTTTCTGGGGAACTGGTTTCTCTTGTTGGAGGGAGACAGTCTCTAATAATTTTAATACTGACTTGCAGAGGGAAGTACAACTAGCTCTTTCAAAGTTCATTGAGGACAATACTTACCCATTCTTGACCAGGTACCATTAAATAAGAAATGACTGTYTTGAGCCCTGTCCCAGGAATTCACCGCTCCTCCCTTGGCCCATCCCTCAGTCACTACAGGCGGAGTCTCTGTGATTCCCTGGGCAGGGATGCTGTCGGGAATCCCTAATGAGAGATCTCAGAGAGTCCCATAAATTCTGGGACAGGCCCAGGCCCTCTGTCTGGTTCTGGGAACTCTCACCAAGTCCTGGATGATAATTACACTCCAACCCTCATTGCAAGAACCTAGATGGCAGCATGTGTGCAATGTGCACACATGTGCACACATGTGTGGTGAGGGCTGGGTGGAGGAGTGTGTTGGAGGGCAAGGCTGATTTCCCTGTGCTGAGAAGAACCATGTGTGAAAGGGAAACATAGTTTTGTGCTTAGGGCTTGGCTAAACTGAGGTGTGAGTTGGAGATCTTCCCTTTGTGGAAACTCAGAGGACTGCCTGTGTATCAGCTGAATGGACAGTGTCAGAACCGACCTCACAATGAAGCTCAAACATCCTGGGAATCTCAATAGCAACAAGAGCCACTCTCTCAAGGGTCCTGGGGGGAGCGGGGACAATGCACACAGAATTCTTGGCATAACCAAGTGCCTAGAGACGGCTACCTCCTAGTGTTCTGGTTTGCAGGCCTCAGTTTTTCCAAACTACATAGAAGGCAGGCAACTTAGATGCCTCAGTTACTACACTTGGGTTCAACTGAAGAGTTGTTTGACTGGGGAAACGGATCATAGGGCGAACACCTGCTGGTGAGTTCAAATCCCACCTTGGCCACTTAGCAGCCAGATGAGCCAGGGAGTCTGTTGTCCCTGTGACCTCCTTCCAGAAGGGAGGAAGGAGCACCCAGTTCCCAGGGCTCTTCTGAGGACGACAAAGTGCTGAGAGACCTTGGTGCAAAGGTTAACGTTACTGTGAACTACAGGGCCTGGCCTCTCTCATCACTAGGGCCTTAATCTCCACAGCACGCCTCCTGGGTTCTCTGCCCAATTAGACAAATCTCAGAATTATAAACATTGTCTCCTTGTGTTAGTCTCTCCTAGCGCACATGACACAGGGCTGCTTATGTTGGCCAGCACCCAATAAGCAAATAATAGGCAATTGATTATTGATTATTTCCTCATACCCAAGTGAGAAGGAGAAAGATCAGTGTGAATGTGCCTTTGTTCTCTGAGGAAACTATTGGTAAACCCTGGAGGACTTGTTTGTGTGTCGTATGGAAAGCAGTCCTATAAGACAAAAATAATAGTTTGGGTCCCAACAACTTGGGTGGAAGCCATACTCCATTGCTCACTAGCCAGGTGGCCTTGGGAAAGTTATTTTATTTCTACTTTTTAGCTCTAAGATTATCTTTATTTAAAAATTCTGTGGTAATGAATGAATGGAAAACCTTGGATAAAAAAACATTCTATTAGTAAGTTGCCATGATAAAATGAAGCAAGACTTGGTTACATCTAAATAGTTAAAGGACAAGTTATATACTTTGTGTACAAAGATTTAAAAAATTCTAGAATATTCTGAGAATGACGGTTCAAAGCATTTACTTTTTCATGATTGTTTTTTAAAAAGTTTATTTGTTCTTTTTAGCTATACATGACAGTAGAGTGTATTTTGACATATGGTATATACATAGAGTATAACTTCCCATCCTTGCAGTACATGATGTGGAGTTACACTGGTCATGTATTCATATGTGAACGTAAGAAAGCCATGTCCAATTCATTCTGCTATCTTCCCTATTTCCATCCTTCATTCTCTTTTGTCTAATTCAATAAACTTCTATTCCCCCACACACTTATTGTGAGTCAGCATCCACATACCACAGAGAAAATTTGGTCTTTGTTGTTTTTTTAGGTTGGCTTATTTCACTTAGCATGATAGTCTCGTTTCATTCATTTACCAGAAAATGCCATACTTTCTTCTTTATGGCTGAGTAATATTTCATTATATATATCACATTTTTTTATTCATTCATCTGTTGAAGGGCACCTAGATTGGTTCCATAGCTTAGATATTGTGAATTAAGCTGCTCTGAACATTGATGTGACTGAGTCACTGTAGTATACTGATTTTAAGTATTTTGAATATATATATCAAGGAGTGGGATAACTGGGTCAGTGATGGTTGCATTGTAAGTTTTTCTGAGGAATCTTCTACGGCRTTCCAGAGTGGTTGCACCAATTTGTAGTCCTTGGGCAAATGACGTAGCTTCTCTGAGCCCTGTTTTCTCATTGGCAAATTGAAGGTTATTATACTCATGTCTCTGGAAGGCAAAGAAGAATGTTTAAAATATCAAACTGAAACACCAAGTGCTTGTTTGGTTTATT